GATAAAAAATAACATAAAACAGAAAATAATTAAAAACAAGAATAGGGATTCGATCCAACGACCTTTCAGCCGTGACGCCCGTGCTCTACGCGTTCGTCTATTCAGGCTTAAATGCAAGGTAGGACTATTTATAGTTGGCCTTAATCAAAAACAGACGTTTGTGCAAGTGCTATTGACGTTGTATTCCCAACGTACAGAATCTCATATAGAGAATGAAGTTCATATACGATTTAAGGCGCGTAAAAGTTGTTCAAGTAAGTTTTGCATGCAGAATTTCACTGTGAAATTTAAGTCTTCCACGATCACACAAGTACCATCAAACACAGTTCAGTCCTTTGTTAACAGTCAACAAATCCATGTTTAACCCTCCTCTTGAGGGTCAAAAGGTTATCATACACTTACTCTTCGCATGTCAGCAGAAAGTACATTTTATGGTCCTTTCAATAAAGCCATAAAAATGGTAGGTCACCGCTGAAACAAAAAAGTTTTCCAATCGCTCCGTCAGACCATGTCCTCAGAAAATGTCTAAAATCTGCCGTGTGCCCCATTGACCTTTGACCTGTGACCTCCAATTTCGGCACAGTGATGGCTTTTCCTACCATGATGCTATACACCGACTATCACAAGCCTAGGTCGAGCCGTTTAGATTTGTGTCGGAATGTTCCCTTCTTTTACACCTCTTGACCTTTGACCTTTGACCCCTCCGTCAACAGTTGGGCACAAATCTAAACGGCTCGACGTACAGATTCGAAAGTTGGGACGTGAGGGGGTAATCCGAAAACGAGTTGGGATGTCGAAGCTGCGCACGCACGGACGAACGAACGCACGCACGGACGATCATGCGATTCTACAAGCTGCATCTGACTGTCAGATGAGCTAAAAATTATGAGAATATTCAGAGTCGAAAACAAGCTGTCATGCGCCATCAGCAAAAGCAGCAGCGATAGGAGAATCAGTAGAAGCTCTGTGTGATTCTTGCGTTTACAATCGCGGGAGCAGGGCCGTAGCCTGCGGGGGGAGGGCAGCTAGATTTTGGAGCAAAATTAAAAAATTAAATTGTTCTTCTAAAAGAGAATTGTCGTAGTCAGAATGAAGGCTGTACATGTACTCAAAAGTCCCTCAAATACCATCTCCTGCTATCTACATTTTCAAAATTTTCTGTGGGAGGACCCCCAGACCCCCCACCTGTTTTTCACACCCTCTTTGAAATTCTGGATCCGCCACTGCCCCCCTAGGAATTTGCTCAGCCTACGACCCTGAGGTGGGATTAGTCTGGTGGCAGCTTCGCCACAGACCACGCCGCATCACGAAGCAAGCGTGACCAACTGTCATCATGGCGCAGGCAATTTTCAGGATGCGGTATTGGACCATTTTCATTTACAATCGACCAGGACGCGAAATTTTTTCCCCCATTTGAGTTCCGGACCCACCATAGATAGTGTTTTGTAATATATGGTTCGTATATATATGGTTGGATTATAGTTAGTGTTAGGGTTAGTGGGTAATCATTTTACATTGTTGCTTCGAGGAAGTAGAGTGAATGCAGTGCGCTGATTGGCTGTGGTCCGGAACTCAAGTGGGAAAAAAATTTCACGACCGGGATGGGAAAAACCGAAATTACAATTTGCATGTAATGTTTTATACCTGGGACACTGGGAATAGAACCTCTCCTTTCCCCTTCATGGCTAATCTACACTGCACAAGCCCACATATCTCGTTCCTCTGCTACTAAATGCATAGTATGTTATCCTAATATAGCGTGCATCATTCTTGCCAGAGAATGACTGCCCACAGTGTTACCTTACAGCTACGTAAATCCAAACTGCATATGAACGTATTTAGTCACTATACACACTATACATAGATTCGATATGCAATGACGATTTGTTGCGGTGAGATCAGTGTATTGATCGGTAAAAAAAATATTCATGCATCGCTCCTATTACAAGACGCCTTTTACGATTTCCTTTCAGAGCGTTATAATTGATTTCTTCCTCCCGAAACACGGCATACTAATGCGTATTAGCTCGAGTGTTCTTAACCATTACTGAATCTTTTTGTACCAATAGAGGAGCGTGAACGCAGAGTGCTGTTGTGCGGCATCTGCTAAGGTTTTATTTTTCGATAACATTTGGTTATATAGCTTCGGTAAGAAACGTTTTTATTGTTTAATGCGTTATACATATCAATTGTGATACAAGGCCAGGTGTCGGAGTGCACCTCATATACGAATTAAACTTTGTTAAAACTTAGCTGGAACCTTGTTCAATTATGTTTTGCTTTAGTTAGAAAATTATAGTTTTTCACATGCACACAGGTATGTATATGGGCTCCTTTCTAAGAGTAATCAAAATGTCTCCGGACGGCGCTTCGTACGTCAGTGAAAAGTACATTTCATGCTTTTTTCAATAAATAGTCAAAAAAACGTTTTTCACTGCTACAGTCAAACCCGGTCTTCCAATTCCTATATTTTGACCTTCTACATTTTGACCTGTGCCCTCACTGTGCAGGGCTTCCCATGGTGGTTTCTCTCATCCTGACTCTCTATGAAACGTCGCTATTAATAATACCTTACTGATGGACAGACAGACACTAGCAGCATTTCTATATATATATATATATATATATTCGCCACTCGCCTAGTGTTTCACCTTTCTGAGACAGAACTACAGAATACTCAATGTCATTAGCCAATCAGATAGCAACATCATCCCTTCAATACGTACACGGTACATAAATATCTTCCACATTCCTGCTCGGAACAGAACTACTTGCATATAAGGACGTGATACATTATTTCTGGTGCATACCCATCACCGAGTAGATACCTGTCCATCCCCAGACGTTGTCCGTCCCCCTGTAACCACGATCCTGTACACATTGTAATAAATTGCATTCGATTTTCCCCGAGGCAACAACAACGCACCAATACACGTCCACACTCCGTATCAGTGGGAAATGTGGAGTAATGAATATCCTTTTCTCTGTCTTCCCAGTACAGCCGACAGTCACTTAATTGGATTTTATAACATTGCTATGCCCTGCGGCTGCGACTAACCTCCGTGAAGTCAGAAAGCTCACATGATCGCATATTAAGCAGTCTGTATGTAATGAGCTTGCTTCAATGATTGGTTATTTTTACGTGGAGGGGGGATAGCACCAGTATTTCTGTACATAAAGTAAGGTGTGCAGGTGTGTGTGGATTTAAAAATGCATTTATATCAGGAGTAGCTACTTCTGATTTATATGTCTTTTTTAAACCTGGTTTTATTAACATTTAAATATCATAACATATCTTGCGTTATATTCGTCTTGTTACACAAGCATAGAGAAAGAAGCATTTAGATTAAATTATGGATATGCTAAAATGAGATCAAGGGAGTCATGAATAAACAATCATATTATTTAAAACCAGAGACCACAGCACTGTAAGCATTTTAGATTAAATTATGGATATGCTAAAATGAGATCAAGGGAGTCATGAATAAACAATCATATTATTTAAAACCAGAAAGCACAGCACTGTAAGCAAGACTCGCTTCCCTTACTTTAAAACTTTACTTGACTATCTTGATCTATGTGACACACCACAAAGTAGGTCACTGGTCACTGCAGTGTTTTTAGGTAGTTAAAATTCACATTGCTGGTTCGCATGAACCCATTTGTCGTCACGTCCGTACACTATGGAAGGAGAGCGCATATTGCCACGTCCTATGCTCACAAACGTACACACGTTATGTTACATGCACACTCCATACATAAAGCTCGCCTCCAGCTGCTGTGGCGACGCTAGCGCCATCCTGTGTGAAACGAACGCACTGAACGCTATGACTGTGCGCAGGGAAGTCTTGAAAGCTCTCCTCAGCGAGGTCAACTAACTTCACTAGCCTACCTGGAGAGAAAAACAACGTCTGAGAATAGAACAGAAGCTCTGCTACTGCAACGAAGTGCATTAGTAAAAAAGAGCAACTAGAAAAAACAACAATGTGAATTTTTGGAAGGATCAATGATGCCAAGTATAGAAACCATGAAAACGATTACATGGATAATAGCACATAATTATGGTATTTTAATTATATAGTATTTAATTATTCTTTCCTTAGCAAATGAAACTTACGCAGCAATACAAATTTTGTGAATTATTTTTCTTGCTGACAGGTGTTCTGAACAATAATATTCAGGCAGCATTTAACCGCACACAAAATATTGGCTTTTGAAATTAACGTATTGATTTATGTGTAAATTTGAAATTGTTTTCATATGATTAAAAGCTGAAACAAGCAATTAAAATAATTAAATAAAATTTAAATTCAATAATAAAGTAACCAATCAGTAATTTCATAGAAGTATTAGACATATTGATTTGATGTATTTACTTAACATGAAGAAATTTGTACAGCATCAAAGCCATGATGCACTGAATACCTATTTTTATCACTCACCAATCGTTCCTACCACCATGAAGCTGCCATCTGGAGACAAGTCTAAACAGCATGCCCACTCCAACAATGGTATGCTTTTCAGAACCTACAGTACAGATGATGGAAGTGGAATCAAGGTTTTTTCTACATGCCAATCTAAATAGCATATCTTGAAAACACATTCTAAAATGTGGCTTTATCCATAACTTTCAACTTTACAGGTTGAATTAGCTTCCCAATATAGATTCCAATACGCCCATGTTTCGCAGAACTTGAATGTGCAATTGCTTTTGCAAAATAAATTTCATTTTCCATGTATATTAAATATACACCCAGGTTCCCATTGTATTAAATGCACAAAGGTCAACGACTTGATATTTCTATACATATTAAAACAATATTCTTCATGCTTAGTATATTGATCTATTTGTGATCTTAATTTGTCAACCATAATCCATTTACTTTGTGACCAGAGGCCGTTGTACTAATTGCCGAGATTTAATAAAAGTATCTTAGCTTGCCAGTCAACCTCTTCTTTAGGCATGACAATTGCAAACCTAAACTTGAATTTTAGCACGATATTAAATATTATCATAACTACCTGTTGCCGCCTCAAGCAGTACATTTGAATTGCCTTCTGTAATCCATAGCCCACATAGAAGATCACAGAAGGATCGACAGGGTTAAAACAAGCCAAGCTTGGTATCCGTCCAAGATCCTGCACAACCAACAACATATATGTAAGCATACAAGTATATGTATCATGCTAACAAACGTTTTTGTTCTATAAAAATAACACTTTGATCGTAAATCATGGAATAAGACACTGGACCCATTATATCCAATTTTGCTGTTAAATTTTACTTAAAATCTGATTCCCTTAATAATTTTGACTGGCTACAATTGAAGAATATTACATGCCTGTCACCTTCTACAGAATATTCTTAGATATAGTATTAGATTGTTTCTCTTGTAGCACCTTGTTTTCTGTCTCTGGTAGCGATGGAAAGGTCAACCAATCAAGGAGCTCACATTCAGAGAGAGACCAGTCTGCTGCCCACACACTGACACGCTGATCATTACTGGCAGCAAGCCACAGAGATGGGTACTCGCCAAATTCTACCGAGTTCTTCTGTGATACAAGAAAACAGGCATTAAACTAAGATAATAGAAATGTAAAAATAAAATTGGAAAAACATTCAACATTAAGACGATGCCAAGTGACCAAACGATAGGTTATTACCCGATAATACATATGTACACTGCAGCTATATGCATACCATATAATGTGCCCAGCGGCTATATATTCTATTCAAACACACGTGGATCAAAATTAGATGTCTTTATTAACCAGGCAACCCCTTTACAAATTGTAACTGTTGATTTTTAGCATTATAACCCACAGCTACCTACGTATGTGCTATAGTAAATAGAACCTGAGCAGGACTGCATCTAATGTCAGTGATGGAAGCACCATGATGGTCACTGATTGTGCGAATCACATGCCCCGTCACAGCACTGCTCACAGCCAGATGACCTGTACACGTTCCCGACACAATAACCTGACCTGTGACAAACAGAGCATAGCCAAACCAACATCTAAATAATACGCATACAGGCATGGAGTGATACTAAGGGCAGTTGCTGCTCTGCTACGGTTAAGTTTAGCACATACTTCTGGCTGGGATTTTAATTACGGAAAAATTAAAATAATTAAAAAGATTATTATGATTATTAAAACGAAATCTGAAAATTACCGTCGTCCGAGAATGTGATAGCAGTGATTGCCGCTTTGTGTGGTATCGTCTTCCTCAGCATTTTGGTTTTGTTCAGATCAAATAGTCTTATGCTGCCATCCGTGTAGCCAGCCACCACCAGGGGAAACCCTGTCTTTATCTTGTCACCGACTGGTCTCATTAGCACTGTATCCAAATCTACCGGACTCGCTGCTAGGCAGTCACAGCTCTGGAACAACACACGTTAACATATCAATACAACACACTCCTAAAGCAGTCTAGGTTTTCTGGGTAACAGATATATATATATAGAGAGAGAGAGAAATATTTTACCATGTCTCCTGGCTTATAAGACTCCGATGCATTAGAAACACTCCAAAATTTAGAAGGTAATAATCTGAAAAAAGGTTGACTGCAGAAAAACCGTGTGAGTGGTACAGTTACAGATTTTCTACCTGAAAAGTTGTCTTGAACTGCATGACAAGCTCCCGAGAAGCTAGTAGCCAAACTCTGAGGCTGCCATCATCACACGATGTGACCAAGTGATCCGTCCCTAGGCACGCCATATTCGTTACCTAAAATAATAATGTAATAGCAACATTATACCAATCACACCATACTGTTATATAAGAAGTGCGCACCATGTAAATGCAGAAGAAGACAAATTAAACAATAACGTATTTCTTAAATATTTGAAGCTAATAAATCACAGAATAATATATGTGATAACAGACGAATGAAGTTGCCTGCTAACTGTAACTAGTGATTACCATGCTCCCATGTCCACTGACAAGCTGCAAGCTTGTGTGCTCTGAGAAATTCATGTACCAAAGAGTTCCTGATGCAGTACCAACGATTCCCTATATCAGCATATATAGATCGTATTAGGTTATCTATGAGGATAAGACAATAACACGTTATTCACTGCATGCAGCATAACATTAAATGCATCCAATTCTTCGAATTCAGCAAAACTCAATGGATCGCACAAAGATACACAGGTTACAGCAAGCGAACCATTATTTATATCGCACACCAACGCACCATGTTTAAGTTTTCTTCAAATGCAACAGAAGTCACATAACCATCTAGTTCCATTTCTCCCTGTAGAGAGGCTCCTGATGTCATCTGCCCTGGCACTGCGCTACCTAGCTCCTGCGGGCCTACCAAACTAGCAACATTCCAGAGTTTCACTCCTTCTTGATTGCCGATGACAAAATTATTGCCTCGCCCAGCGATGACGCCTAAAATGAGGAAGGTAGAAACCTGTTAGCACATCCTCTGCTGTGCATTATAGCATGGGATTTAAAACTAATACAGACAGATCCAGCTCTATCCAAAGAATAATATTCTAGCCTACCTTAACATGTATTTTTTAGAAGGTTTAGCAGCAGGTTTCAGTGTAGTTGGTCAGATTTATTATTATAGATGGATAAATGCCACATAAAGCATATAAAACATAAAATACATTATAAAAAAACCAAAATATAAGCACATAACATAGATTGATGATTATAATAAAACTGTTGATGCTCGTTATTAACAAATATCTGATAACATAAATATTTAATAATATATTTATTCTTTACCCTCTAAATGAACCCAACCATTTTCATTCAGCTTAAACAAGTTGCACTAATATTGCAAATAGATCAAGGTATCCATACTCACCTATTTCAGAACTGCTGGCAGTCCAATGAGCTGTACAGGTATTGCTGCTGGTATCCCATAGTGATAGTTTTCCATTGCTTGTACCCAGGAATAGAGTATTCTTTCCGGTATAACATGCAGCAGTAAAATTAACTGCAAGTCCTGCCTGTACAGATGTTTCAGAACATTAGTTCGACCATCACATACTAGTTTTAACTTTAAAGACCTATCGTCATAGAAACAAATTTAATTTCACATACTCTCTAGTGCTTCAAACTCTTGATGCAGTCCTGCACAATATCTGACATCTAATGCAGCTAACAGGTCCATAGTTTAGAATTCTTTGTATAAACTGCTTTCTTGTGGATTAGAGGACACATTAAAAACGTAGTGATAAATGGGTTTTTAATTTTGGTAGCCATTTATATTGTATGCAAATATTACTTCAAATGGCGATCTTCTCTTCTATGTGTGAAGGTATTGAGATATGTATATACATGCAATCATGCATGCACTCATAACCTGATCGTATAGCAGTTCTTCTGGTATTTCTGGTTCATGCAGGCACAGCTGGCCATGTTGAGGCGTGGATTCATTCTCCTCCAGCATCCAGAAGCATACCTTGCCTTCTTCACCCACCGTGACAAACTCTGCATTGTGGTACATGTCCCAGCACAGCTGGTGAATAGGAAACGAGGCAATTGTTGTCACGGTGACAGTCCAGTCGTACGTGCTCCAAATGACGATCCTTGGTTCACGGTAATCACCTAAAAACAAACCCGGTACTAGAAGGGGTCCTTCCATTCACACCTACACGTGATGAAATCTACATCTATTTTGTAGCATGTATACTAATCCAAGTTAACAAAAACATCACTAGTTATTACACAACAAAAATAAATGCGTCATTTATAATCGGTGTCACAGATTTATACTGACAGCCTTTGTGCACGACAAATAATACCAGCACTGAATGATGCGCGACTCACCAGCAGCTATGAAAAACCGAGCATCGCGTGAAAAATCCATGCACACTACGTTGTGTTTGTGTTGAGACAGCGTGACTTTACAGGAGAACGTTTGCGTGTCCCATACATAGATCTGGCAGCAGGCAGCCGGGTGATCCGAGCCTGATGCTGAAGCCAGTAGCTACACACACGACCAATGATTAATTTAATTTGTCACTAGTAGCAAGTTTGTTTAATTAATCAATCCATCAATCATTTGCATAACCAATATAGTACATATTCTGTTAATCAGCCATTACATTTGCTGTTCACATTAGCTTAATTACAGTACATTACAGTAGAATGGTTGCAATGATTAGACATCGTAGTTATTATTATTATTATGTATTATCGTTATTTCATCATTAGCTATTCATATTGGCAACATTTTACTGTAAAATTATAGATTCACTAATGATAGCTGTAGACTCTTTTAATATTATAAGCAATGGCTTCGTGCGCAGTGCTATCGTTTTGTACAGATTACTCACAGATGAGTCATGTTGCAGCGCAAGTGTTGAAATCTCTTCTTCATGATGGAGTAGATGGCGCTGCTGGCCATCATGTAGGTTTTCCACCACCACAATACAACCGCTAGTGTATGCAAACAGACCGGACGTAGGGTTCCACACCATATTGTTTCGGCCATTGCCATTGTAGCCAATGACATTGTCGAGCTTTAAGCCTGCTTCATTTTCGAGAGCTGTATATCTTCTCTGTTAATACAAAAAAGATCAACAATAGTTATAATGAAGATATTACTTCACTGTTAACCATTGTTTCTGCACAGATGAATGATGATGGTCAGAGGTAGACAGACAGACAGGCAGGCAGGCAGGCAGACAGACAGACAGACAGACAGACAGACAGACAGACAGACGACAGACACTATATACCTGAGCGAGAGGCGAGTTGCTCCCATATGTAAAGAAGTGTCGTTTGGCATTTGGTTTGTGTGTGTGATCCAACGCTGGAGGTGGAGAGCTGGTCGCACCACCACTGCAATCATCACCCATCAAGTCCCTGGCAGCGTTTTCTGCACAGCTGTTTACTCTAAGCGAGTGCCGTCTTGTTACTTCTTCTGCGATGGGTGACAAGCACACTGGATCTTCAGGTTTTACTGGCACTTCAGTAGCTGTGCTGTCTAGCTTGATTGCTGAGACGCTGCTCATGTCTGCGTTAAAAACAAATCAACGATTCACCACACAAGTAAATCACGCAGGTTCGTGAACATGCATGATAACTCACAAATGATAATTTTTGGAGTTATATGATGGAAATATAGCTAGTTAACCACCAACTGCAATGAGACGTCAATTAAATCCGATCCTAAAATTGAATTTCAGTAATGCATATCTTCATTATGATATCCCAACTTGTAATTGGTATTGCGGTCTACCACACAAGGCTATCGGTACAGCAAATAGTAATAATAATATATACCATATGCTACGCTGACAGTTCTTGTATAGGGTGGGTTTAATGTTTGCCCATCACGTTTTACCTGCTAGCACTGAAGAATAGTCAGGAACATCACATGCTGCCTCGTCCTCTTCTCGGGCCACCAAACGCTGTCGCTGGTCGCTCAGCAGGTCTGTGGGTGGGACTCCCACACAGTTTGGTGATCTGCTGGTGGTGTGCATGTCCCACACGAAAATAGTGTCCCCTGTCGAGAGCAGTTTACCGCCGTCAGCTGTGCAGTGTAGAGCCGTCACTGGGGAGGAATGTCCCGTGAAGAGCTGTGGTGCCACGTCCATTCTCAGTGACGAAGGCCACACCTGGAATTGACGCAGTGCAAAATGTCTGTGCATGTGACAGTAGATTCTGTGCCTTTGCATCTCTGTGGCTTCCTGATGTATTATACTACATCGTACTATTTTCTGCAATTAAAAACAAGCACAGGATACGCGTTTCTGTGTGAGTGAGCAGTTGTTTTTTTCATCACCTTGATGATGTTGTCACCAGCAGTAATGATTAGTCTTCCGCTTGTAGATGCTGTCAGTGCAGAGCAAGGTCCTGCATGGATATCCTGCCTCTGCGCAGTCAACTTCCCACTCGTGGAATCGAACTTTAGCAGCCTACCACAAGATGTCGCTACTAACACCTCTTTGCTTTCCTGACTACCAATAAAGGACACTCGAACTGCAGTGTCGAGCGTGGGATAGGGGGTGTCAGAGAGCATCGTGGCATTAACGTCTAATCGCAGGATCTCATTCAACATAGCTGTGTCCATGATTGTCACAAGGTATTCGCTGGGACCGATGCACGCGACATACTGTCCACTCTGGCACACGGCAAGGACGCTCGGAGACAGGTCCGTATTCCTACACACCATGTTGGGAAGGGAACGAACCAGCCGGTACGTGCCACCCGACGAGTGATAGAGCACAAGGCTTCCGAACTGGTCACAGTAGCAGACGCTTCCTTCCGTGCTCGGGCAGAACGCGAGACCTATCACCTGGCCACGAAGCTGCTTCAGTTCAGACACGGCTCTAGCGTCCGACACGCTGAACACCGTCACTCTTCCCGACAGAAATCCGCAGGCAAACTCGGCCTTCGACGGATGGAACGAGACGTTGCACGGCACCTCGCCGTCAACGCTGAAGTCGTACAGCTGCCGGCTGGTCGCGAGCGCCCACACTCTCACCGTGCCGTCGTCGGCCACCGTCGCGAGGTACTCCCCGCTCGCGTCGACATCCATCGACGACACCTCGTCAGTGTGCGAGCGCATCAGCGTCGTGTACGTCTCCGTGTTGACGTCGACCGCCGCGATGCTGCCGTCGCGCGTCGTCACAACCACCGCTGCGCCGTCGTCGCTCCAGCGCACCGCGCGCGCGGGGCTAGCGTGCTCCGCCTCTAGCAACACGCTGGCGAAGTCGCGCGACCACACGCGCAACGCGCCGTCTTCCGACGCAGTCGCGCAGCGCCCGTGGCTCGCGGCGATCCCGTTGATCAGGACGCCACCCTTCCTCGTCACGCCAGATTTGTCGTCGGGCAGTTCCCCGACGTCGGGAAGCAGCGGCATCGCTCTCGCGACGGACGCCGTGTTCGGATTGACGTCGAAAACGAAGCCGAGATTGCTGCTCGCGCACACGAGCGTGTCGCCGCCGTCAGGCGCCGACCGGTAGCAGACGTCCGTGACGACCACGCCCGCGTAGTCTCTCATGTTCACACTGCAACTCCTCAGGGTGCCGTCTCGCACCCTCCACAGCTGCAGGTTGCCCTTGCCACCCGTGACGAAGCGCGTGGAATCGACCGGGTCCATGCTCATTGCGGCTATGTCGACGTCCGTGTGGCCTCTGGCAAGAGTATCGACGACGCCCCTCTCAGCATTCACAACACTCCACATCACCAGCAGGTGCTGCCCCCTGGCGTCTCGGCCCACGCCGCACAGCATCCGTCCGCACGCGGAGAACTCAAGCAGCAGTGGTCCCTGGTGGTGGGCCTTTGCCACGGCAACGCAGCGTCCCGATTCGAACTCCCACAGTCTCACCAGCGCTCGCTTGCCGACTTCTCCGGATGCAAGCAGCGGGGAAGGGCTGGAGCGCAGCGCCAGGCCAGAGACCCTGTTTGTGTGGCCGGTGAAGAATCGCTGTTGACCCGTCTCGACGCTGACTGCGACGATGATCGCATGCGCGGGATAAACGATGTGCTTGCCATCCGCAGTGATGCAGGCCTGGTCCGTACTGAAGCCCACCACTCGGTGCAGTTTCAAGAGCGGATCGTGTTCGACCACCCCGGTAAACGAAAGCCGTGCCGGAAGTGTTTCGCCAACGATCACTTCCTCCTGTGTCAAGAGTAATGACGATAACACGTTTAGTTACTGTAACCAAGAGTAAGAGTAAAGCTAATGTATTAGCAAAGATAATGAATAGAGCGAGGAGTTGGCTGAAATTTAACATTAAAATTCAACATTTACACGCCTTAGTTTACCCATAATTTATTACTTGATCATATAAAAAGACTATGTAGGAGGTATACGACATTCCACGTTTCCTAGGTTCTGGCTCCTAGACTATCTACAGGAACGTAACGATGATGTTAGGTGAGGAGTTGTATATCATATCTTTCATCTAACACTAATAACACATTTTCCATGTCAGGATTCATGGCGAGGTACGTGTTAATGTGGATTCTAGGACTACTACCCCCTGGACAATTACCCCCCTAGGACAACTACCCCAGGGCCCTCGCTACCCACTCGCCAATTCGCCAATGGCGAACAAATTAGTAATCTGGCGATTGAAAGTCTTATTAGGCGAAAAAAGTGACGAACGTAATTTTTCCGTAATAAACATGACCCAGCAAACATCGATCCTATTTGATCGTCGAAACAGCAACGTTTCTTTTTGCATGCCAGCACACTCGTGTGTCATTCCCGATTGCAGCTTTTTCCTTGATCCCGGGAAAGTTTTGCTGTCGCTCCATAATAACCAGCGCGGTGCCCACCCCTACATATACAGCAATAACCACACCCACGCGACTGTAACAATCAGCCCCCCCCCCCCCCGTACTTCAATCAATGCCGCCCAGCCAGCAAGCACGAGCGACGATGTGCACAGCCACGGAAGTGGGTAACAGGGGTGTCGCGGGCTGCTTTTTGGTTTTTTTTTTCTTTGGCGTGAATGCGTGAGAATGTGTAGGGCATGCGGGAGCGCGGGAGAATGGGTCCAGATGCGTGAGTCTCCCGCGAAATGCGCAGCGTGAGACTTAGGTCTGCTAACAGAGTAAGATTTAAACTAAAGGGTGAAATTTTATTTTCGGGGTGCATCAAATGCAGTCTAAGACATTCAAATGTTTTAAATTTTGCTGGGGGAGACCCCCTGAACCCCCGGCCCTCTACCTCTCTCCCCCCGCGTCTGCCTGCAGAATCCACATTCGTGCCTACTGCACACCTTTGAATCCATCATGTGCGTTTTTCCCCAAACTGGGCATTACCACCGTTGTCTAATTTTCCCTCAGAAGAAACCCTGGGGTTTAAAAAAGGCCTGTCTCCACACACGGCACGGCAACGGCGCTGGCAAAAATCAAATGATTTTTACTACGCCTGTGTGCGCGCGCGTGCGTTCGTGTGCATGCGTGTAGGTGTGTTTGTGTGTGTACTGTGTGTGAGGTACTGTAAAAAGTAGTAAAACTGATAAGTACTAATTGGGGAATATAGTCAGCTTTGATGAGCAGCTAATTTTTCTGGTTCAATAGCATCCCGAAGTTACAAAAGTAGTAGAGTATATGCATGTGCTGTGAAAACTCTTCTGTAAACTATTAGTATTACTATAAATAACTATACTGTGTGTATAGTACTGTCTATACTGTACTGCGCGCGTGCGTGCGTGCGTACGTGCGTGCGTACGTGTGTGCGCATGCGTGCGTATTGTGCGTCAGGTACTGTAAAAAGTAGCTGTTTGTGACCCTACCATCCACAACAGTTGATGTGGAGAGGGGTTTTAGCAGACATAATTTGGTTAAAACAGCTCTGAGAAATCAGCTGAAAACAGAAAGTGTTTGTGACATTCTAACCATCAAAAGCGAAGACCCAGAAGAAGAGATGTTTGACTGTGAAAAGTGCTATGTCCAGAGGTGTGCCAAAAAAGATAGGAAAATTTTCCTGCCAGCAGTGAAGAACAAAATTCAGACAATTTGAATGTCTCTGTCAGTCAGTCAGAGTCATGGTGGTGAATCATAGTGTTAGTGTCTCAGTCATAGACAGGTGGTGAATAATAGTTTGTTTGCATTGAATAAGTGTAGTTTTGTGAAAAAATAAAGAAAAGAAAAATTAGTTATCGCCTTTTTGTGTTCATAAAATGTTAGGCTACAGATGTGGCTAACAGGAATCCAAATTGGCTAATGAAAATTGATTCTGGCTAATTGTTTGGCTACAGAAAAAAAATCATAGCTAGGGCCCTGCTACCCCCCTAGGGCAATTACCCCCCTAGGACAACCCTAACCATAACCCTAACCCTAGGGGGGTAGTTGTCCGGGTGGTAGTTGTCCTAGGGGGGTAATTGTCCAGGTGGTAGTTGTCCGGGGGTAGTTGTCCAGGGGGTAGTCGTCCGGATACGGTTAATGTGAATACCTGCGACTTCGTTCTGTGCGTGGTGATCCGATCGCCACGAGATGCATAGATGTGCACATCCCCGCGCCTGTCAGACATAACACTGCAGTTGCCACGGTGACGAGCAGTGCTGCATTTCAGCGGTGCAGATGTTGTAGACGTGAGATCACCACACAGCTGTCCTTCACTGCAATCGGCTTCTTGGTGAATCTTTTAAGAGTAATGGGAAATTAGTACAACCATATTGGTGCCCAACACCGAGTCAGATGTCGAGGATTCATCAGTGGTCTATGCTCCGCCCAGGAACCACGGGCGTGACTGACCGACTGATATTGTTAGTTTAAAATATCAATTGCAAAATATTCTCAGTATCAAAGCAATTAGAAAGTTACAAATTTTTACTTAATTTGCTAAAAGCTCACCAGTGTTGTATGTACTAAAAAAATTATAACACTTACTTGTAGTGTTTTGGTGAAAGCTGCCTCTACAGGCTTGTTAACCACATGTGGTGGACCACTCATTACTCTGTTCAACATTCTAGCTTTAGCTTTGGTGGTCGGTGATCTTTTTATACTACTCTTTAATGTATTAATACTGAGGCTCTGTGGTACATTGACTCCATACGGTATCCTAGAACAGAAATGGCAAGATAAACTTACTCGCTCATAGCCCTCAAGGGATTTAGCCTTCAATACATATATATATATATATAATTTTGACTAATATAATTTGAATTGTGTTAAAAATAACAATCTTACAAATAAACGATGGTAAAGACATCTGTACAACAGGAGGAAGAGTTACAAAAATACTGTTGTTCTGATCATATAACTAAGAAACAAGTAATTTCACATCATTCAAAAACAATTATATTTCCTCTTACCGAATATAAGCGTAACAATCTTGCCAACTTTCTCCCTTCTCTAGAGGAAACCGCATCACCCTGGGAAGCGGGTAGATCGCTAAATCACCCACCTCGTTCTTCACAGAATCTGTCAGAAAATATTTTGTAGTAGTTAGTCTCTATTAGGAATTTATGACACTGACATAAATACAAGGAGAAATGAACTCAAAATTTATTACAGTCTTATCATAGGAAATATCCACAGACGTTGATGACTAAAATGCAACAGTGACAAAATGCAGTCAGGACTACCAAGAAATGACACCACACACATTACGAACCTGGAGAGAACACCTTATCAGACGTGATGATATTCTTTACAAGCATACTGGCGCACAGCCGCATGCACTTGACATGTGAGAAATGTCTGTGCATATAATTGGACATGGCAGCTTGCATGTCAAGCTGCAGAACTGTCCACAGAGAGGCAGGGGGAGCAGGCCCAGGGAGATCTGTTGCAAACACAAGTTGGTAATCATTAACACAGATCAGCACATGACGGTAATGGACAATGTTCATAGCATTGTGATTGGATTAACTGAATGTTCTATAGAATATCTTAATGAAACTGAAGGAAACCTTTGACATTTTTGATAATGAATACATTGATTACCATGCTTGTAGGTTGTGACTGAAGCTTCATGGATGGAATTCATTGATGATTTACACACAAATGGAAACTGTATCCATGCGGCTCCTGATGTTACGTCCCGGTAGAGGTTAGAAATTGAGATCCGAGTTGACAAGCCATCTGTGCTTATAACATCCACGTGAAATGTGAAATATTTCCCTGGTTGAGGTCTGAAATAGTAGGTACCAACCAGTCAAAGCCAAGACAGAGAAATAAGCACTCTTGATCAAGACAGGGTCAGGAACTACGGTCAGGAACCATGAAAATGTCCCGTGTAAACGCTGGTCCCAATTATGCAGTGAACAAGCGTCTATGAGAGGTCCGATAATGAGGCAACCACAGTAATATCAATTATATTTGCCATAACAATCACTATCACCTATGACACGTTTAGATACTTCAAGTCAGGCTTATTACAGAAGAAAGTCTTATGCTAAAGTTGAAGCTTATTTGCTATAAGTTGTGCTTATTTATACAAACCTGAACAACAGATACAAGTTTCTGCCTGTATACCCTAATGACTGTGTCACTGTCTTTGGGAGCTGGATATAATTTGAACCAGAAGGAGTTCCACTGATTCTGTACACATGTGACTTTAATGATTTATCCTATATCAGGAAAATGCATCAATGTTATAAATATATCAATATAAGTGAGTAGTTTACCAATAATATATTAAGTATATACTTCTAAGAAACTATAAAAAGATCCAATGCAATTCAAAAATTCTACACCGATGTCAAGGGGGTTCTGTATAACAAATTTTAAAGCGAGAATTCCTAATGTTTTTTCTAACTGTTTTTATATTTTCTCTACCGTTGTGATACTTACCGGTACACCTTGTGTAACACCAAGTGTATATATATAGTAATGCTAACATGTCATAGAACACTCGCAATTCATTCTTTTCACCAATCCGCATTTCAAATTAGATTTGTTTACTCGTCAACAAAATTAACACGGGATTTTCGCTCTCGCAAGATGTCATCAACGGGTACCCTGTTTCTACACTGTTACAACTGTCTACATTTCAAGATAGATACCAGTCTAGAAAGATTTGAACCCAAGCCTAGTTTAGCACCCCAGATTGGTGTAGCACATATTCGAAAACATATTGCGGTTTGCGGGAGTCCCAAACTATTCTTGATCCAAGATTTGTGTCACATAACTACATGCACTTGCTTTATGAGACTCCGCAAAGAATTCTGCTCTCGCGAATCTCAAGACAGCAGGTGTATGTTTGCTGTTAATTTACTATTTTATAACCTATAACAGCAAACTCGTTAAATAATTTTTATGTTGAAGAAATCAGTCATATATGTATGCTGACAAGTGAGACTAAATTTGTCTGAATTTTCTCGATTTATTTGTGACATGACCATTTCAATTGGTAGATATCTGTCTTACACTCACCAGAATAGATTTGACATCTCCAGTCTTTGTAGCTTTTTTCCAGGAACGCACACTACAGTGATGAAAGACATTGACAAAAGGTTGTTGCCAACCTATAAATATAACAAAACATCAGAGCTTCGCTGAGTCTAACACTAACACAGCAAACAGACAGACCAATACTGTGAATACCATGTTATTACATTATATTACTAAGTAACTTACTATACTAGTCAGCGTTCGAAATTAGTGCTGACCCAAAGGCCCGAGGCCACCAAGTTTTTGATTCGGTCACCAACTCTACAAAACTGCCGGTCCTCCTGACCAGCACTTTTTTCCCTCATATTACACTGAAATACTACTGTTATTGCAACGGCAGTTTAGACAGACTTGTAAACGGGAAGCGCATTCTAATACGCTCCGTTCTTGAACGTAGACGTGGTGTCCAAAACATCTAGAGCCGAGGGCATGAACTCCCTCAACGCATGATTCGCCACACGCACAAAACCTCGTGACAGTCAAAGAAATCGATTGCGGCATGTAGCGTAGCTCAGTGTTTTTATGACCTCATAACAATAAGTTCATATGTCGCAGGGGTTATCGTGGGGAGTGAGAGCACGACCAGTGACACCTGACACGCACGTAATCAAAGCTGTTAACTGTATTCGTCACTTTTCTTTACGCAGAAAGTGGACTATTTTTATTCAGTTAGATATCTAGAAGCAATGTACCTGGACCTGGGTACGGTCCGGTATACCAGAAAGTACCCTGGTACTATCTAATGTGCCGGACCGTACCTCGCCTGCTCTACTAACGAGTCTAGGGAGTCGCCTACGCCTACTCCCTAACCCTAACCATATCAAATGGTTCCGATATACTGGACCGTACCCAGGGTACGTTCCGGCAATACCCTGGGGGACAGAGACCCTCTCAGCCCTACTTAGCTCTAGTAGTAGTACTATAGCGCGCGTACAGTTGCCGCACTAGTACTACTAGTACTGCTGATAGGATCTATGTCCCCCAGGGTACTGCCGGAACGTACCCTGGGTACGGTCCGGTATACCGGAACGTACCCTGGTAAACTAGTTTGATATGGTTAGGGTTAGGATTAGGGTTAGGGTTAGGTGTTAGGGTTAGGACTTAGGGTTAGGGTTAGGGTTAGGGTAGGCGTATGCGACTCCCTAGACTCGTTAATGAGTAGGCGAGGTACGGTCCCAGGGGCGTGTACAGGGGGGGGGGTCCGGACCCTCTGCTCGCGCAGAAAACGCATACTAATTCATAGGGGTCTAATTTCAAAAAATTTCTGGGGGAATTTTCGTGTAAAGCAAATTTAATGTGCAGACAGGCTGCGCAAACTACGCAACTGACTTGCTGCAGCCAATCAGCGCAGCCGGCCCTGCGCCTTCTTCAAATAGTGCATTCAAAGAATCTTTTCAACATGATATTTGAAGGAATTTCTGTGATGTGATGGCGCATCTGGCGGGGCCGATTGTAAAAAAAATGTCGCGGTGTAGGCTTGTATCAGCAGTTCTCCGCCATCCAAACGAGCTAGTTGGAAAGTGGCGTCAACCTGCGAGACACCGGAGTTATTGTAACTGATTAAAAACGGTGGAGTTGTGGTCTGCGCGGGGCGCGAGTTAGGCACCATGTTGTATAGATTATAGTGTCACTGCGCACGTGTGTGTGCTGTGCTGCATGTGCGGGAACTTGTTCTTGCTGCGGCGCAGTTGTCGCCAGTAGTACACTACTACTACTAACTACTACTAGTAGAGTAGTAGTCATACGAAGAGCCTACAGAGTCTACAGCTACTTATCAGAACTACATATACATAAATAATAACGCAGTTGGCTACGCGGTCTGGAACCGGCGGTCGCCTAGGCCTCCAGGCTACGCATCGAACATCTCACTCACACCAGTGATCGCGGCACTTGCGTAGGCACGCATGTTGCGCAACGGAACGCTCTGCTGATTGCCGTAAATATACAAATATGCGATGCTGCGTCTATCCTTTCATCCCGTCTCCTCTCGCTCTCTCTCCTCTCTTCTCTCACACACGACCTCTAGGCTCTCTCTCTCGCTCTCACACACACTTACTCTACCTCTACTCTCTCCTTCTCTCGCTCTTCCTCTCTCCTCCTCCTCTCTCCTGGTCTCTCTCTCCCTCTCTCCTGTCCTCTCTCTCTCTCTCTTCTCTCTCTCTGCTCTCTTCTCTCTCTCCCTCTCTCTCTCTCTCTCTCTCTCACACACACACGTGCACACACACACACCTCTAGCTGTCTCTCTCACGCATACACACACACATACACATTCCCCCTCTCTCGCTCTCTCTCACACTCTCACGCGCACACGCACACACTCGGCAATCAGCAGAGCGTCCCGTTGCACAATCATGCGTGTACGTTTCGCAAGATCACTGTGTGAGATGGATGTCCGGACGCGTAGCCTAGCGGGCCCCAATAATAGTTAATACATTACTCATTAGTCATTACTCTGTATACTATATCATCAGGTTGTCGTTACACACCTCCCAAACTACCTGCCACAATTAGGTAATATATATACATGTGTCAAACAACTTACAATTAGAGCTCTGCGTTTTTCCGGGAGTATTCATCACGCCTGTTCTGAAGATTGTTTTTCTTTGAAAACTTCTAAATATCCGCCATTTCCTAAACGAACTAAGCGAACGCAAAACCAGCCGCTTGCTCAAGCTAGTGATTCATTCACTCCCAAATCAGGCCCTGGCAGTCGCTGGGCGTGGCAATAACGTATGTTACGTACGTATGTGTACGCATGTATACGAATACGAATATGGTGTACGAACGAGGTCTTAATGTGTGATGCTTAAATGGACATAAAAATGGCTTAAATAGACATAAAAATTTGTTAAATGGACCTAAATATGCTGATTTGGCTAAATAGGCGCTGATTCAAGCAGAATAAGTGCTGATTGATGACATTGATGCAAAACAACTGCTGGTTGATACAAACAACATGTTCAAATAACCTATATCAGCAGAATAAACCATAGACCATAGAAATAGATAGACAACTATGTTACTGTTGTCTATCTATTTCTATGGAATAAACGCCCATTCACGCTAAACAAATGTCCATTTCAGCAAATATGTCTCCCTCTTGCTGATATCAGCACTAACAAAGGTCCATTTCAGCATAATTGTCTCTCTTTTGCTGATATCAGTGCTAAAAAAAAGTCCATTTCAGCATAAATGTCTCCCTTTTGCTGATATCAGCGCTAAGAAGGGCCATATCAGCAGTTATATGCTAATTAGACAAACATTTTTAACATTTTGCACACGGCACGCAGGCCGGAGGAAGTTTAGAGTAGTACGTACTAATAGGTGGAGTAGGGAGAAGCTAGTGAAGAATGAGGAAGGGGAGAAGGGAGAAGGTGGTGGAGGAGGGGGAGAAGCTGGTGGAGAAGGAGGAAGGGGAGAAGGAGGAGGAAAAGGGAGCTGGTGGAAGAGGAGGGGGAGAAGGGAGAAGCTGGTGGAAAAAGAAGAGGGGGAGAAGCTGGTGGAAAAGGAGGAAGGGGAGAAGGTGGTGGAGGAGGAATTAGGGGAGAAAAGAGAAGCTGGTGGAGAAGGAGGAGGAGAAGCTAGTGGAGAAGGAAGAAGGGGAGAAGCTGGTGGAGAAGAAGGAGGGGGAGAAGCTGGTAGAGAAGGAGGAAGGGAAAAAGCTGGTGGAGAAGGAGGAAGGGGAGAAGGGAGAAGGTGGTGGAGAAGGAGGAATTAGGGGAGAAAGGAGAAGCTGGTGGAGAAGGAGGAGGGGGAAAAGCTGGTGGAAAAGGAGGAGGGGGAGAAGCTGGTGGAGAATGAGGAAGGGGAGAAGGGAGAAGGTGGTGGAGAAGGAGGAGGGGGAGAAGGGAGAAGGTGGTGGAGAAGGAGGAATTAGGGGAGAAGGTGGTGGAGAATGAGGAAGGGGAGAAGGGAGAAGCTGGTGGAGAAGGAGGAAGGGGAGAAGGGAGAAGGTGGTGGAGAAGGAGGATCGGGGAGAAGCAGGTGGAGAAGGA